CATTTTTGTTGTAAATTCTATAAGAGCCAGTTCTTGGAAGTCAAACTTTAGGAATATTGAGTAATTATAAGAGCAAGGAAAGAATGAAATAAATAAGTTGAAGTAACTCTTGGAATGACTTATAGTTCTTTTAAAAATTTCTAGAATCTTTTTGTTTTTTATTTGAAAAGTTTTTACTAATAAAATGTTACCTACAAAATTCTTGGTCATTTAATTCTTTTCACTGTTTTAGGTATTCATAAAATTTTCTCTTTCTCTAGAGTTAACTGATAGCTCGAATGTCTCTTTGAGACTGGAAGATAGCAGTTTTGTTTTGGAACCTCTTTTAACAGTAAATCCTGTGTAAGTATCTTCATTTTATGTTAAAGTTATTACTATATTTGGTTTAGTAATTGTATGGTAGTGAATATTGGACTATCAGCCTACATGTGTAGAGAAAAATGGAGGCAAAAGAAATGTGCTTCTGTAGAAAGATACTGAGAATTCCATGGACAGAGTAAGTAAGCAATGAAGAAGTTTTAAAAAAGTGGTAACATATGTGAGAAAACTGGAATTGGGGGGGAGATCCTTGTTGTGAACCTGAAATGAACACCCTGCCAATGAACGGATGACCGACCGCAACAGCTTTTGTCAACCAACAACACCAAACAGCTCATGCATCTTCTTGTAGTCCTTGGTCAAGTCCATTATGGTACTCCAAGGTGTGCCCGGTGAAAACACATGCAGTTTGAGGACGCTTCCGTGCATGCTCATTATAACGTAAAGAACTCAGAATCAAAAAGACACAGTGGAAACTTTTTGGACACAAGAAAAGAAAGCTAGGAAAACTTTAATCCTCACAGGGTATATCAATGGCAATTGAGATAAAGGAAGGCAGTGAGCTATCTACCTGACATGCTTGTGTGAATGGATGGTGAAACAGGATAAGAGGCTTGGTAATGGGAGAAATATTACTAAGGGCTGTAAAGGATAGGAAGTTGAGGAGAGCTATGATCGCTCATATTCTGAAGGGACATTACATAAAAGAAGTTATACATCATGATTTCAATAAATAATAATCACATGTACATAAATAATATGATTATTAATATATAGTGAATCATTTGGACAAGACTTTAAACAGATAAATGACCAATCTATCCTGATGTCTTTTGCTTTACTATTACAAAGGTATTAGCCAATCATATTATGAACTATTCCAGCACATTATATAAATCCTTGATTCTTTTATGGTGTACAATATTTTATTTTGGTCATTGCATTTCAAATGTTTATCTTCTTCTCATATTCTTTTTATACTTAGTAACTTTTTGTATCTTAGTGGATTTATTACTTTGCTTGGAGTAAAATGATTAAAAAAAATGGTGGATTCTCTAAAGAATGATCTAATACCATAAATTTTTGCATGTTGTAACAATACTGTTTTGTATTGTACCAATTTTCTTTGCACCTTCTCAGCCTAACATTTCTCACTGACATGAATTGGAAAGTGTAGTAATTTTTGGTCTCAACGTTTGTTATAACTTTATACTGTTTGTAGACGCTACACCTTAATTGTAAGTTGTTATATATGTACTTTTTAGTTCTTAAATGTTATAATATGGGGAAGATCAACACTATTTACTGTGAAGATATTCAAATGCGATTGATCTATGTGCTGTATTGCTTCAGGACATTGGCAATCATGGCTCTCCATAACCTCTTGTAGCTTTGAGCAATGTTTGTCTTTTACTATCCCTTCCACTCCTTGTTTGCGCATCTATTCACCCAAGCACATCAGGGAGGTGACTCACTATTTTCTTCTGTCTCTTTTGTCTTCAATAAGTCCTACAAGTATCAAATTATCCAAGCCTTCTTTTTTCATTGTGTCCCAGAAATTTCTACTCTTTCTGATTCTAAGTATAAATGACATTTTTGTTTCTATTTTCCTTAAAACTTCCTTGTTGATCCATCCATGGCATTCTCAGCATCCTTCTGTAGATCCACATCTCTGTTGCTTTGTCTCTTCTTCAACTGTGAGGATACTGTCCAGCACTCACTACTCACACTCATATATAGGAGGATTCATATTGCATAACATTTAAGCACTCTTCCTAACAACATGTTCATGCTCTGTCCATGGTATTGTCAGCATTTTTTTGTAGAACCACATCTCTTTATCCTCAGATCTCCTTTTCATCATTGTGGAAATTGTTCAGCATTAACTGTCATATAGGAGGACTGATATTATATCAGTACTCTTTTCTTTGTTTCTAATGAAATGTTCCTGTTCCTTAATACTTTGCTTAGTTTTTGGATGGCATCTTTTGCTATCCTGTAGAATTCTCTCCCTTTGCTGGCCTAGATGCATTCTGTCACCTTGAGATGGTTGCTATAAATAAACACGTGTCAACTGTTATTTCCGGTATTTTAAACTGGAAATCACCTACTACTGTTTTGGAACAAGGTTAAACTTCCGTTTTCCAATGCCATTTTGAATTCTTGTAGATTTTACACAATGTGTAACACCAATTAAACCCACATTAATTTTTTTGCAATTCTTTGTAAGCAAAAATGGCCACATCAATATTCAACAATGCCTTTATTCAGAAGTTTTTTCTTTAATTAGGACTCTGATGATTTTGAAGGCTTTATTCTAGTGGATATTGATGGTGAAGTGGTTGAAGATGATAACCATGATAGTGACATAGTGGAAAGTGATAGTGATTTTGCTTCTTATTGCACCCCTAGAACTCCACAAGGAATAATAAAAGTTAAAGTATGTTGAATTATTTATGTATTTTGTAATGTATTTTTTTATTTAACGTTTTTATTTTGTGTTTCAATTTTTTGTTTTCAACATTAAACATAATGTATTACATCAAATATTACTCATTCTTTTATTAGTGTGAAAAAATTAAAATCTATACGTACAATACAAAGAAAGTTATATATGTTTTTGCACCCTCAAAAGTTATATTTGTTTTTGCACCCTCAAAAAAATGCAATAGTAGGGGGAACAATTCTAGAAAGAACTTAGCATGGTATAAAGGTTAAGCATAGTCATGTTGAAAAAACTTCATGTAAAAGTACTGCAATATGAACACAAGTAAAAATGGTTGCTGAGACATTAGGTTTATAAGTTCCAGAAATTCATGCACAGTGGCATTGATTAGATCTAGTGACTAGATCCAAAGAGTTATGAGTTCAGTACCAGGCTACAGCAGTGATGAATCAAAACACTTGGTTAAAGGGAAATAACTGAGACATCTGGAAGAGGCATGGTATATGGAACCAGAACAATCTACCCCAGTTGATGGAATAAAGGGTTTGGTTCAAAATTCCAATCACCTGAAGAAGGTTGGAGTGTACAATGGCCGAAATGTTGGGAATATGTCAATGAAGATGAGGATAACAGTCCGAATAATGTAAATAATATGGAGTTTATGTTGCTGCCTTTGGCTCAAATAATTGTCTCAATTCTATATGGAATTGAATGGAACAAGATCCAGATTTTCTCATTTGGAATTTTTTCCCATTCTTCTTGGCAGTAATCCCAAAGCTCTTGGAGATTGTGTGATTTTCATTAGAGCACTTGTTTCTTCCATTCTCACCCTAATGGTTCAATTATATTGGGATCAGGACTTTCTGATGGCCAGTCTTCCAAAAGTTGAACATCTTCATCCTCAAAAAACTATTTTCTTATACATGATGCATGGCAAGTAGCATCATCATGCTGAAAAATTTCTCTGTCTTTGTAGTCTGGCAGAAGTTTAGACCATAGTAAAATGTAATTTTTATACTTATAGTTTCCATGAAATTTTACCAATTTTCTTCTACCAATCACTTTTGATGCAACCCCACAGCATTGTGTCTACCACCAAATTTTACCCTCTTTGTAGTGTATCTTCCATTGTTTCTTTCTCTCACTTGTCTTCTTTCATAATCTTTCTTTCATTTCTCTCTTCTAACTTTTGTGGTCTTCCGGTTTTCTTTGCATTTTTTTTTTTTTTTTTTTGCAAACATCTTTTAGATAGTTTGAACACTGTTCCTGGAAATTCCCAGCTCCCTGAATGTCTCTTGCTGCATCATCTTCTCCTTCAAAGTCACAACTTTCATCTCTTTCATCAGATATTTTTGCCTTGATGTTAAAAAAAAAAAGAAGCAAGCTAATGTTAAATTTCAATGACATACCAAGGCATCTTACACTTATTTAACATGGAACAATTCCTACATAGAAACTTGCATATTATCCTGATTTTATCATCTTGGATCTTTAATTAGCCCAGCAGCTTTCAAATTTAACCTGAAAGTGGTATATTTTCAATTACATGGCACCTATGAAAATGCAACAACCTATTTTCCAATCCTCAACATTCACAAACACTAATGATAAAGGAAACAATCTTAACTTATTAAAATAAAGATGTACAATCATTTTATGTAGCTGGCACCAAAACTTTTGCATGTCTCAAACATTTTAATGCTGATTTTATTTTATTGTTCTTCATAGCTATAAAGCTGAAATTAAGTGCAGCTTGGAATCCATTGAAATCTTGCAGCAAATTTGTACAGCATCTTTAGCTGGAGAAGTGGACATCAACTCAAATTTGGAGGAACTTTTGGATCAACAATCAAGTGCTAAAGTATAGTCATTGTCTTTTATTTTTTAAATTTTATGTTTTTGTGTTCTGAATGCATATGTTTGAAAGAATGCCTTTTTTTAATAGTAGAAAGATTTATCAAAATTATTAATGGAAAAATGTTTTTGAAATTTTATTCTGGTCCCAACAGATTAATGTTTAGCACTTTGTATTATTTACAAGTGTGATTTTCTCTAAATTTGCTGCTTAACTGCATTAAACTAGCTTCTGATTTCAGTCAAGGTTATTTTTGCTGCTGACAACACAACCATGAAATTCAAACACCTTTATTTTGCAGTTGCAAAACAAACTTTTTGCTTAGAGAAAGATCTTCTACAGAATGCTAAAATTAAAAAATTGAAACACTGTCTATCCAAGTCTCTATTTTATCTGTCTCATTTTATTCATATCTATCTCATTCAATTCATAATGGTATCTGTCTTGTCCTAATCATATTCGTATCTATCTATATTCAAATCATTGATATCATTATGTTCACTGATGTTTTGGTATATACATTCACCCACATTGATAGTATATTTCTGTGGTCTGTGTACTACAAAGTAATATTCTCTTACTATGTATAAATTGGCCTTCCTGAGTCACTTTTTCAAAAATCACAAGAAAAAACCTTGTGGGATTTCTGTTAGACTGACAGCTTGTCTAAAAATGTGCCAGAAACAGCAAAAATGTATTGTCACAAGAGCAAAAAAAACTCTCTTCAGCAATGATATTATGATACTATTTGATTTGTTCTTTTTATTTCAGGAAGAACTGCCAACTAAAAATTGCCTCGACTCTCCCATGGTACCTGAGCCTTCTCTTAGTACTGACTTTGCTATGAGTATTGCTCTTACCAAGTTCCAAAAAGTTTGGGAGATCTTCAACAGTTACTGGTGAGTGAGCCACTCATTTACTGGTAGCCTTTTGACAAATTGTTGAAAATGAAGCCATCATATTGATGCCTTTTGAGTGATGGGGCGGGGATTCATTTTATAACTGCTAATGCAATAAAAAGAGTTTACTTTTATTTCTGTTTGCAATATCTCTTAGTTTAGCTTATACTATTAATGAAGTGTAATAATTTTAATTTTTAATTTTTTTTTTCTTCTCAAATTTTTTTCCCTATTTTTGCTTGTTTTCTTGTATTACACTAATTCCAATGGTTGATTCCTTTTCAAGTGGCATCTTCCTCTTGCAGCCGCTTTCTCATAAATGATGAAAAAGTTTTTAATATGTTTTTCTTTCTAACATTTTCACTGCTGCATTGTTATAGCATTGTTGCCTAGCTGTTTTTGCCTGTTTTGGGGGAAAAATAGGAAATTGATGTTTACTAGAAATATATGACTACAAAGACACTAATTTCTGTCTGAATTTTTGGAATGAGGATTTACCACTATTTATGTTCAGACTAATGTCTTCATTTTTGTTATCACAATGTTTCAGCCATCATACCTACTGGCCTTCTTCAGGTATCTGTTAGTTAGGGTAACCTTCAAGGAATTGCAAATTGACAACTTCACATTTAACTGAACATTGATGGGTGTTCTCATTCCACTGTCCATGTCTTGTGATCTTTTATCTGTTTTTTCTTATACTATTGTTTGCTCAATTCATGGCCAAGGGTTACTGAATGATGTTATAAGGGCATGTGGGGAGGAAGTAAGAAGTGCATATGAGGATATATAGGATGGATAACAGTCAACTCTTAAGTTAAGATTGTAGTGATCAGAGAAGCATCTTCTTGGGTGTCTGTTCCACAAAGTAACAGTTCTGGGGAAGAAGTGGAACTTGTCCTTACCAATGGAATATGAAGGGAATGATGATGTTGACTGTGTATGTGGCATGGCAGGGCAGGGCAGGGCTTACCTGTGAAGGTCTGAACTGGTGGAAATAAGGAATGTAGCTTGTCGGAACATCTGCCATGAAAATAACAATAGAATAGTGAGAGACAAGCAACATCTCAACTGTGGGAAAGGGGTTGTAAAGTGGAAAACAACTCATCACCCATAAGGCCATGTAAACACTTCCAAACTCTGTCAAGGCTGGAAAGTGAAGATTGGGCAGCTCTCGCCCAGATATGGCAGCAACACTCCATTTTTGGTTTGATCAGACTCTTGTAAAGATAGAGCATGACAGGAGAAGTCAGTTACTTTCTAGAGTGGAACAAGAAAATGTGGGATGGAGAAAACCAAGTTATATCATGAAAAAGGATTATATTCTTTGTGCTGTCAAAAAAGAAAATTTCAATCAAGATTGAATCAACTTTAGTAGGCCTCGAAATATGATAATTGTTTGCACTTCCTTACCAGTCTTGACCATTCACCACCCCCTCCCCAGTAAAAGAACCCTACTTTGGACCACAGGATTGCATATGGCTCTTCTTCAGTGACGAGTTGTATGTTACGAGTTGTGGTATGGTTTTTTGACCCTTTTGATTTACACCTGTAGTATTTTTTGACATTGAAAATACAAGACTGGTTTTTGATCTTTGGAATTATGACCTTGGACTTAAGATTTTTTTGATCTAAACCTTCATATTGCTATTTACCTCAGGAAGTGACCTTTTTTTAGAATCTTCAATGTTTCATATATACAAATTCCATTTCCCAATAGATGTCCAAAGCAAAGATCCTCATTAAGAGTATGACTGTTCATCAGACGGGAGTAAATTTAGGGCCTGGTCCATGGTGATGAAATGTTACTAGCTTGGTTTTGTTGCTAAGAGAAGATGAAGATAGCTAACAGTATATAGACAGCTTCAAGAGAAGTGGCTGCAAATATGCCAGCATATGTACCTGTCTACAGAAATGTAAATCGTGTAGATTTGTAAAGCTGAATTGTTCCAATGTTAGCTGTCAAGATAAAATAGATCATAATGAAGATGAATGGGTGGAGTCTGATGTTGGAATTGGAACATAAAGTAACCCATTTAGGAAAAATTCTGGTTTGGTATTGTGACACTGTGCTGTCGGCCATGGTCAACTCCCAGTCGTGGCGCGAAACTGCAATGTTTCACCAACCGGTGTTTTGGGGTTGACTCTTAGTTGCTGTCACCAGCCTGTGTCCCAGTTGGTCGGTGGTCGTCGCTATCCGGCAGAATCCCTTGGTCAGGGTACCAGTATGTGACACTTGCCCGTCCTGGGTCGAATCCTGGTCGTCACTACCCAGCGAAATCCTTTGGTCAGGGTACCAAGTGGGATGGTCGGTCGATGCTAACGGCTTCACACCAGCTGCAACTGGTTCGACACCAACTCCGTCATTCCAGGCTCACTTCCAACCTATGGTTACCAGAGTAACTGCTTTGATCTCAAGTCTAATCTACCCATGTTGTGATTTTGATCTTAGGTAGATGAGATCAATCAGGCGTTGGGCTGTAGTGTAAGATGAGTCCAGACTGGAGTTGATATCACACAAGCGTAAAGAAAAAGAAGCAAATAAAAACCCAAGAGGTTCAAGTATGTTAACAAATAACAAATTAACTTTATCTGTCTGTTATATACAGGAGTGTGTTTTTCTCCTAGCGTGTTTTTTACAGAGTGTGACACTTCTACGTTTCTCAAGCCATTATCCTAAGTCAAAAGGTTTAGTTTTTAGGTGCTGGCTTGGCTTTGTTCATCAGTATAGCTTGCTATTGGTAGGATAGGCGAAGTTGGAGGTCGTGGAATCTCTCGGTCAGCTTCGGCAAGGCAACACTTTGGTTCCTGCTACTCGAACTGACTGTAACTGTCTCACTTGTACTAACTCTTGAACAGCCTGAGGACGTTTGTTTATATGGGTACCAACCAAAAACCAGTGTGAGGTTAGACGCAGTCTGGGGTTTTCAGTAAATCTCGATTTCTGACAAGAAATCATTTTGTTGTCAGGCCATGAAAATTGATTACTTCCCATTTTTGGAAAATTAATCACTTTCCATTTTTGTGGGGGGAATCTCCACATCCATGAGGAGAGGTAAGAGGAGACCTATCCTCCTAAACTTCCACTCTCTTACATTGATACCTCGCACAAATCCCTTCAGTGGGCGTTTATAACTTCCCTGTCCTTCTCATCAAATTACCTCCACCTATCACCATTGCTACCACTTGACCAATGGCATCCCAGCTGTGCGGGTGTGGCTAAGCTGGCCTCCTTAAAATTATATCCCAGAATTTTTGTTTACAAAATTCTTAATTTTTTTTTTTTTTCATTGGCCAAGCTTTTTACGAATCGCACATTGCCACTTAAAATCTCTCAGATCTTTTGGTCACTTAGAGTCTTCTTAACCAGCACCCTTTACAAATTCCATCCATCACTTGTCAAAGTCTGCCATCTGGTCCCTTCATGAAGTTAGCTTTTACTGGAACTCTTGGCTTCTTCTATCTCCCAAATCACGATTCTTCCACAATATCTTTTCTCATGCCCCAAATCTTATAATCACCATATTGCTACTCAATGTGTCGGTGCCTGAAAACGATACTTTGGAAAAGTAAATAACAATTTTCTTTACCATGTATCGGTAAATCATCTCATGCTGAAATTTTCATGACTGCTATATGGCCTGCCCGATATCTCAACGCTTTACTTTTTCTGAATCTTGTGTTTCTCTTGGCAAGCATTTCTTTACAAACAACATTAATCAATTGTCAAAAAACTCACATATGGCTTTTCCATGAGTCTACTGTCTACGCCAATTTACAGGCCTTTGGGAAAGTGACTCGATTTTATTCTTAAATAAAAAAAAAAATAAATAAAAATTTCAGGGTATCTTCTTTTCTGTTCACAGTATTTTCTTGTTTTAATTTCTATGGTTAATTAGTTAGCCAATTACCATATCTAAATAGTGTTACAGTACTTTAACTTATCACACAGTCAGACCATGTACACGGAGTCAATTCATCCTCATTCCTTTCATATTCCATTGGTCATGAGGAAGTTTCACTTGGAGAACGTCATTCTCAAAACTGTTTCATTGTAGAACAGTTTCCCAAAAGGATGCTTCCCTGATCACTACAATCTTAACCTCTTCAAGTTTATCTATCCTACATATCCTCATAATATGGACTTCTTACTTCCTCCCTTTATGCCTTTGCAACAACCTCATTTAGTAAGCCTCTATCTTGAGTAACTCTTGAGCCTTGTATTAGGTGGGCAATAGTATAATAAAAAAAAGGGAAGGTTATTCAGATTTTCTTTCCATGACCATGGCAATTAAGTCTGTAATCTATTTAAGTAATTGTTGAGTTTTATTGTATGATTAAAGGTATATTTCTATGTAAGAACTTGGAATATTGAATAAAATTTCATCTACTCTGACATCTCCATGGATTTATCTTTAAAGAAATATAAGTATTTAGTAAATCAATACTTTTATCTTAGAAACATGCACAGATTAAGTAAAAGTAACTGACCTGAGAGAATATTTCTTCTCAGTTTTCTTGTAAAATACCCCTTTATAAAATTGATTCATTAATAAGCAAATGATGAAAATTTTATTGTAATCACATAATTCTTTCATTTCTTTTTTTTTTTCAATAGCTTATAAAATCTTGGAGTAACTTAAATATTTTAAGTGTGCATTTGATTGTGAAGATCCTATATATTTATTTATACTTATCACTAACAAATTTAATTTTAATTATTGTGCTAGTTTGCTTCCCACCCCCCTCTACTGGTTATAAGATGCTCACATGGCAATTTCTTCTATTTGTAACTCTAGCTTGCTAATAATTACTTACCTTTACACCTAATATCCACACACTTCTTTGAAGTAGTCTCTTACCTGTTGTTTCTGTACTGGTTCCCAAAAGGTACAGTGGCAAAAGTCTCTGATACATTTGGTTCTCATGTGCTGTTCAAATTCTCTCAAACTTTTTGGTAATACCTCATATCTTTAATTGTACATTGTACATTTATTTTAAAAATATATTTTTCTTTTTGTTTTCTCTCCAGCCAAGAAGTGGAGTGTGCATTACAGAGTGGAGCATCTCCTGAAACCTGTCAACAGGTTCTTGTTACCTTACAGACCTCAATTCCCATGATGGAAATTACATATAACCAATTTTCTAGGTAGGTCTTGATTAGATTGTAGTAAAATTGTTCACTCGAGGATTTTGTAATACAAAATCAGTTTCCCATTTCCTGAACTGCCATGAATTTAAACAGTTCCTGGTTTTCACCTTTGTCTGTCTCAGAGTGTGTTTTAATAAGGTTAAATATGAGACATGTGCTTGGAGTTGATGCTTTCACTTATTTTTGGCCTGTAAGAAAATTGTTTTTATTAACTTTAGGTAAAGCTGCTTTTGAACACTAGTTATATGTTTATTTTCATACAGTCTCTTTTTAAGCTAGTTATGGCCATATCATGTTAAAACATTGGTTCCCATTTTATCATGGACATTAAGCATTATTGAGCCTGGTCAGTATGTAGATGGGTGACCGCTTGGAATACCAGGTGCTGTAAACTTGGATGTGCAGGTGGTGTAATGTATAATGGCTTGGAATTGTTAATCGGAAAGCCAAGTTCCATTTTCAGTTAGTTTCATTATATTGACTTATGCACAAATACCCTTAGGAAAGGTATGAATCCACCTCTTCGCCACTAAATCATTATCTCAAAAAAAATTCTTACAATCTAAAATATTTTCTGGCTTTAAATAACCTGCAAAGGTTTGAAAAGCTATAGAAAACAAATCAATTAGTAAGTAAAATATGATACTATAGAGACTGAAAAGACTGTATGATCCTTAAAAAACATTAAGAACATTTACAAAAAAAGAAAATCAATAAAATGTTAGTTGTTTCTCAATTGACATTTTTCGCAATGTATTAAAAAGGGTCTTTAATTTTACAACTGAAAGTTTGAACTTGATTAGAAAATTCTCATGTTATTTTAATTACCATAATTTGCCAGCCCCATGTCCAAAAAGTTGAATTCAGTTATCCATCTTGTAGTTTGGTTGCCATCCAGAGGTATGAATCTCACTCTGTTCTGCAATTGAAGCTGTAGCTGTCTGGGGAAGAAATAGATACCTTTCTCAAGGGTGTTTGTGTAAAAGTGAATGCAATGCCTTTGCTAGAATTTGAACTTTGCATGCTGATCCCACTTCCTTTGCTGATAACCACTGCACAATGTGTACCTCCACAACAGATAAAACCTTGTTTTAAAAACATGCACAATCAAGGTTTTATTTGGATAATTTATCTCCTTTGTGTTGCTGATATTGTTTCTCCAATATTTCATGTACTTCTTTAGGTGTAAATCAGTTGTAAGGAAAAAGAAAACTTTCTTTACTCAGTTGAGAACGTCGCCTTTAGTTAAATTAGATTCACCTCATGACTTATGGAGGTGAAGAATATTGTCTGTTTATCTTTAATGAACTGACATGATTGATTTATTTGTGACCATTTTGTATCTTTCCTCTCCTCCTAATGTTATTGATTAAACAAATGTGTAGATTGGTAATATTAGCCATTTCCTTATAAGGAAATATTTGGCATTCATTGACCATGCAGCCAGTACTACTTTCAGTTGAAATTTATAAAATTTGTTAAAACAGTTTTTCAGGAAAATAGGTTTCTCAAGTTTAGTAATTGCTATTGCTCTTTCCAGTATTTGATGGAGTTTTCTTAATCATTTGTTTGAAGTAGTTTGGAAAGCCAACATTGATTTTATGTCATTATTTTCTCTTCAAGTTACATGTGCTATCCATTTTAGTTGTTGCTGTTGTAGTCCTCAAATGATGTGGTTTCTGTTATTTGGTACAGTTTTTTGTTTGTGATTCTGTAGTGTCAGTCCATGATGTTCAAAGGAGGGTCCTTGCTAAAACCTAGGAATTTTTAGGCTAATGTGTTTTTTTTTTTTTTTAAGTGTTGGAATGCTAATTATGCTTACAAAAGTTTTTGGCCAGTAATTCTCAGTGAGAATGGTAACATACATTTGGGGGCTCTACGAATTTTCAAGAGGGCAGTAAATGTCTTTGGAGAGTGCAATCTCAAACAGAGCAATAAGAGAATTTTCTTGGAGTCTATAGTGGAGAAAATTACAAAATGATACATGTTTGTTTATTCTTTTGACTATATTTGTATTTTTAGATGCATTTGGAACATTTAGCTGCAATTAATAATATCTATATGGATGAAATCCCTGCAAGCCAAAGTTTAACAACTTGTATAGTCTGACCTGGTGACTGCTGCTTGGGTGCTCCCACCACAATCTTACTTTCAATAATTGGCCCTGCTATAAGGCAACAAAATTAAATTGTGAAATTAACTCAATTGCATTACTTTGGCTTCATTTACCACTGCAATTTTAACATGCAGGGTACCAGTCTGCACAAATGTCAGAAAGGTGGGGCTGGAGAAGAAATGGTTAAGAACTACTCTTACAGGCAATGTACATGCATGTGCACACAGCGGCAACAAAGAATCCAAAAGACAAAATACAATAGTGATTTTCATTGATTGGTTGTTTCAGGAAAAAGACATCATTCCATGTTTGTTATTTATTAAGCTTAGTTGAGTATTGCACCTGGTGGGGAACATTCAAACTCACAACATTAGGGATAATCTGAAATTCACTTGCTAATGCTTGCTCTACAGAGGCATCTCACTCTAGATGAATGGTATATTAGCATATTTCAGATTACATGTCAAGTATCAAATAAATTTTATTCCTATTTTGTTCACAGCTGCCTTGGACTTTCTGCAGTTGACATTCCCAAAGAAGTAAATATGTTCACAGTTCTTGCTGAGCAACTAAATGCCATTTTACCTCAACTTGGCTGTCAGGTGAGTAAGCATTTATAAACATGCACACACACACACACACACACACACACACACACACACACACACACACACACACACACACATTCTGCTATTAATGCTTGTATTAATTCCTGACTACAGACAATAAATTTTTTTTTCTTCATAGCATTTCTATAGGAAATTCATTATTGATACATTTACATTATATATAGAAAATAACCTTATTTTTTTCAATAATACTTGCAATTCCTAATTACTGAAAATACCTTTTTCCATTTGCAGTGCATTTCTACAGTAAAATCATCTGCCATGTATTTCTGTAGTACATTTATTTGCTGTGCATTTCTGCACTAAAATCATTAACAATTCATTAATATCATGCATATAGCCTGCTGATATCTCTTGCATTAATTACTGACAATCTCATGGTGCTTTTCAGTGCACAGATTGATTGCCAAAACTAAAACAAATTTTAGTTCAAGAAAGTTCAAAATTTTGTGCTCAGTCATCCAAAATTTTTCCAGGAAAAATTTAGTTTATTAATTTAGAAAATTTTCTAAAGCTGAGTGAGTGGTGGTGGAATAATGGTAATGTCAGTGAGCAGTGAATTAATAAAAGAAATAAAGAGAAGGAAAAAGTTGAAACTTTGCCTCTATGTATCACGTTTAAATGTAATGTATGCTAAATCCCAGGGTTCCATTTTTTTCCTCTACTGCATAACTTGTGATATTGCAAAGTTTCTAAATAGTTTAAGTGATGCTAACCAATTTCAAAGAAGCTAAAAATAGCATTTCTTTTTTTCTTGCAGGACAATAATCCTCTGGTCAACTGTGTACACTTACAGACACTTTTTTCCAATCCTGAGAAACAGTAAGTAATCTTAATACTACTCTTGAGAATTCCATAGCAGATTTCTACAATATTCTCTGGTTATCTTTCATGGAATTTGTATAATTTACTTAGAACATAAGTTTCTGAAAAGTAATTTTGTTTTTAGTTTAAAAAAACTGTTTTCAAGGTTTAAATATGTCTCAGGAGGAATATTGTTTGTTAATTTTATAAATACAAATATTGTAACTAACGAAAATGGGGGGATTCATCTTTACTGCTACATGAGAACTAATTTAACACATTTCATTATTAATTCTCTCTGGCTATTTATTACATCTGCTTTATTAATTTATATAAATTATGGTAAATATAACTTTCTTTAAACTACATTTTCTTTTATAATTTACCATTGTGTTAAATATAACTATTTTTTTCTATCTTTTTGTATTGTAATATTAAAAAAATGACCAACAGTAATTGTTTCAATAATATAAAAAGAAATAGGAACATTTGACCTTAACTGATCAATTTGAGCATTTTGTGTAGAGTAATCTCACACCTAAAAAGGGGGTGGATACTTACAGCTTTGGTCATAAACTTGAACAATACTACATTTCTTATTCAAACAGGACCTGTCTACCATTTTGATTCTAGTGCAAACAGGACCTCTGTCTGGGCTTTTCATGGTAGTGCAAGCAGGACCTGTGTCTACTTTTTTTTACTCTAGTGCAAACAGAACCTCCATTTATCATTTTTGACTAGTGCCAACAGGACCTCTGTCTACACTTTTGACTCTAGTGCCAACAGGACCTCTGTCTACACTTTTGACTCTAGTGCCAACAGGACCTCTGTCTACACTTTTGACTCTAGTGCCAACAGGACCTCTGTCTACACTTTTGACTCTAGTGCCAATAGGACCTCTGTCTACACTTTGATTTGACTCTAGTGCAGACAGGACATGGACCTCTAGTGCAGACAGGACACACTAATTTGACTCTAGTGCAGACAGGACATGCAGACAGGACATGTGTTTACTAATTTGACTCTAGTGCAGACAGGACATGTGTTTACTAATTTGACTCTAGTGCAGACAGGACATGTGTCTATCTGTTAATTGATTCATTGTGATTTCTGACACATAAGATTTATATTTGATATTAGTTAATTCAACAAAGATTGATATATTGTTAAATTAACCAACTTAACTAAGCAATCTCTTTGTGGCTTGTAACATTGATGATCCGGTTTCTTCTCTTTTAGAGGAATGCTGACCAATGGCCTTGCTCAACTTGAAGTAATGATTCGGGGTCTGCATACTTACCAGGGGCATTTGGTAGGCACGTGACACACAACCTCCAGTCAGGTACCACTCACTAATCACTGCCAAGTCATAAACAGTAATTTATATGTCTTTTACTGCTGGTTCATTATCTTGAGTTCATTTTTGAATTTTTCAAGATGTTTTTTATGTCCTAGCAGAAAATATCAAAATCAGTGCTCAGTTCAGTCAAAAATATCTTCATAATTGAAATAGCAGTTTTATATTTTGTTATTTGGATTTCATCATCAGGCACATCTTGGTTACATAATAGCCTATCTTAACATTAAATGTTTATAAAATGTTAAGGCTATATTAGATGGATATAAGAGCCAGAAATGATGTCATGTATCAGGGATGATAGTGTTCTAGGTTTTTGTATAGAAAGTGAGGGATCCTCACTTTGTTTTTAATAATCTGATTTTCCAATTATAAAAAAGGTCAGTTGTAACTAAGCATGGCTTGATGTTTGTGAGCTTTTAGAGTTCTTATTCTGTGTGATATAACTGGGATCAGTTTTATTATTATTATTCAAATAATAAACTGATTTCCAACCAAATTATTTCAATTCAGGCAGGTTTGTATATAGTGCAGAACATGAGATAAGACAATGTGCACCTTGGTTATAAAGTCATCGATCATCTTCATTATTAACCAAATAATTTCATCATCTGCTCTATATTTTATATTATAGATTAATAACAAAAAAAAGTTAAATATGCACTTGTTATTTGGATTTTTATGGAGATTGCATTCACTCATCAGTAGACTTTATTGTAAAAAATTAACATTTTACAATTCAGTCACTTGATGAGTGGATGTAATCTCTGCAAAAGTTGCATAGGGACAAGATAAATGAATGATTATTATGATTAGTGCTCTATCTCTTTGATATCAAGCACTATAATTACAATGACTGCTTCTCTTAAAAGATTTGCCTTCTAAAAATATGCTGGGCAACTGTGTTTTTTTTTTTTTTTTTTTGACACAATCTTTGTGTGTGTGTGTGTGTGTGTGTGTGTATATATATATATATATATAATTATTATTATTATTAAAAACAACAGATATTTTGTGTCCATTAATTTTAATGATTGACTTTTCCAAATTAAAAATAATCCTCCTCAAATAAGGAAGAAATTCCATCAGAAATTATCTGAGGTTGATTTTTGGAAGAAAAGTACCAAAAATATGGTCCAAGCTTTTGACTTAAATCATTATCAGGGTAGGTAGACAATTGGTGAGTGTTGTGATGATGCCAAAGAGTGTTGTGACATGTAATATATATATATATATATATATATATATATATATATATATATATACACACACACACACACATTTGAGGATGCAGGCTCTTAAGTTATAATTAGTTTTATTTATTGATGGTTGTTTTTGTTGTATGATTAACATATATTACCAAAATCAGATGTACCTCAATTACAAAAAAGACAAAAGAGGAACAATAAGCACCATACATAGATATGTACAACAAGTCAATAAAAATAAATATATCAGATTTATTATTTACTACAAAAAACTCAAAACAAACAACTTGGTTATTAAAAATAATATATCATAAACTTCCAACCCTCTACATAAGACCAATGTTGTTTCTGAATATACTTACCCACTTGGAGAATGTTTCTCTGTAAATATAAAATATAAAATGTCTTGCATAGTATATGCTACAACCACACTTTCATAGAGACTCACCTACCACCTATGGGACCATAGTGCCATCAGACAACACATTAATAAGCAGCATAAGGACCATAGTAACATTAGACATCTACTCGCAAACAATGCCAAAATACTAGCAAAATCAAATAGTAAAAACAGACTTGTGATCCTTAAAGCAGTACTCATGCAACAAAAACAATTATAACTTAAGAGCCTTTGTCCTCAAATGTATATATTAAAAAAAAAAAAACCCTGTCAGACCCTGTAGTTAATTTAAAATAGTATTTTAAATTAGAAAAGGCAAATTGTTTGATAATCAAAACACTGAAGTCCAAGATCAAATCAAGACTGTTTGATAATTAAAAATACTGTAAAATCCAAGGAGGGTGCAGAAGGAAATGTTGAAATCAAAAATTGTACTCCAATATCAAGAAATCCCAGTACATGTCTTTTTCGCTGTCAATCCACTGGGCATTCAAAACTGCTGATTAAAAGGATGTGCTCTTATATCAGTAATCGGATAAATGCTTCCTTACACGTGCTGCCAATACCAGATTTTTGTTGATGTAAATGTCATCGACATATGCCACTATGGCAGACTTGATTGTCTGGTCTTGGGACATCACTGCGTTAATGATAGGTTTCATGATGAGTGGCGCCACATTCAGACTGAAACCAAGCTGTATGAGGCAATATCTTTGTCCCTTAATTACCACACTCTGATATGGCCACAATGATTTGTCAATGCTAATCTGATGATATCCTCAAATCCAGTATTGATACATTTGCGCCATCCTTGTGCCATTCCCTCAACTTGGCTGCACAGACATCAGCATTAGCAGTAAATGTGTCAACATGCTCATTGAGCTCCCTATAGTCCATAACTGGATGCACTTTTTGCTTGTTGTGTTGGATCACGGCCATTAATGGAACCAGTCCCTTAGGTGGTCCAAGCCTTTTTTTGGGGGTTGGGCAACAGTCAGCCATTCTGTATTCAACTCTGAAGTTCAGCTTTGTAACTCCTTCTGACACATTTGGGAACTCAGTACTCTGGTATCTTATTGTGCAAAAACTCTGGCACCTGTCATCTGGACCATTTCAACTTAGCAGTCTAACAATTCTGTGCTTGGTCGAACTCCGCATGGAAATCTGTCTCATCAAGACATTGCTGCGCAGATGGCCACCTTTTTTCTGGCAAAGCCTACTACTCCTGCTGACGTGATGTTAATGCCACCTGCCACTCTTTATAGCATCAATCCTAAGTATGAGGTTAAACGCCAACACCAATGTGTCTACAACCAGTCTCAATGTATACTGGCTCTGCGCCATTTATACCCAACTAGAGTTGACCTCACCCACAGCATCTTAGTGTTTTTCTGTCAGCTGTTGGCACGCTTGTCTCTTCAGACCTTCAGGAGTGGCACACAAATCTGATGACCAGCATCTGCGTACATCCAGTGTCCACTAAGGATGTACATCTTCCATTCAAAAATATGTTAATTGTTGGCAATGCCACGTTCTTCACTTCCTTGGGGAGTAAGCTGGTTCTGATGGCTTTTCCCCAGAGGCGTTTCCCTGACATTGATGCAACATGCTCAATCTCATTATATCAAAAATATTGTATTGTTCGGTGTGACTGTTGTGATCGATCAGTAGCCACCTCTGAGCGTCCCTGTAAGCAGTTCCTTGCCAAGTGATTGGGTCTGGAACACCTATGACAGATAATCTCATGCCTTCGTATCCCAGTCTGCGTGTGAACTGATTGAGCGGCAGCAGCGATCTTCTCAGGTTCCTCAGTGTTGGCCATGATGGACTGTACTTGGGCCGCCAGTTGTTCCAACGTCATAGCATCCATTCTTGATGTTGCCTGTAGTAGCCATCTTACATACTGTGGCAGCCCTGAAATGAATGCGCAAGCCATCTGACAATCTCCGACAAGCAGATCAAGTCAATGCAAAGCTGCCAGATATTTGTTTGGTGTCTCATCTGGACGCCGTGCCACAAATTGATTGTACGCATTAAACAACCTGGGAGTGTAGGCTGTTATGAGTGTCTGTTTGATGTGTTGCAAACTTGTTTTCTCCTTTTTGTTTAGTTGCTGGTATACAGCGCTGTTTCACAAATGCAAGGGTAGTATCAGCTCGACATATGTTGGTGCACATATCATCTTGACATGCTGAATTCACTGTATAACTGGTTCATCCATGGTGGAAACACCAAATTCTGGAATTAGTTGATAATCGAACATCTTATCCATGATAAATAAAAAGCAACAAAGTGAAAGAAATTCAATTAGCTGAAATGGCTTGTTAATTTAAAGTTGTATTTTAAATTAGAAAAGGCAAATTGTTTGATAATCAAAACACTGTGAAGTCTAAGATCAAATCAAGACTGTTTGATAATTAAAAACACTGTAAAATCCAAGGAGGGTGCAGAAGGAAATGTTGCAATTAAAAATCGTACTCCAATATGAAGAAATCCCAGTACACATCTTTTTCGCTGTCAATCCACTCCTCATTTAAAACCGTCTGGTTCAAAAAACTGCGTCTTGAAAAAAAGGATGCGCTCTTATATCAGTTGTCCTCACACATGCAAAACCACCAACATGCTATGACGGAATTACAAATGGCAACCATGACCGCCTTTTTGGTCTCACTTCACTACATACCCTTACTTGCTTATGTCATAACACTCACTAATTCTATGAAACTCATTAATTGTCTCTACCTATTCTGATGAACACTTAAGAAAGTCAAGAACTTGGAGCATATTTTTCTTCCAAAATGAATCACAAACAATTTCTGATGGAATTTCCTTGTCTGAGAAGGATTATTTGTCAGTTATTAAAATTAGGTGACACAAAATATCTATTGTCTTTAATATTTGCCTAAATGAATATTTGATGCTCATACACACACACAAATATATATATATATATATATATATATATATATATATATATATATATATATAGACAGACAGTAAAAAATCCATTTCGGTTATAATTTATTTTTGAATATATTCAAATATTCATCTTTCCAGGCCAAAGTCTTTCTAATAAATGGAATCAGTTCATCCAGACAAAAGGAAAAGGGAGAGGAAAAAAGAAAGAAAAAGGAAATGGAAACAATTTTTATATTAAGAGGAAGAAAGAAAAATTTAAATATAAGTTTTAAAAAATATTGGAGGGGAAAAGAGGAGGAGGGGAAGAAAAAAAAGGAAATAAGAAAAAATTAAACATGAACTGATAGGCTGGCTTAGAAATTTTTTCTTTAAGGATTGAACAAGTTAATATACAGGGTAAGGGAGGGGGTGATTGAACTTAAAATAGTAATATGTCTAAT